AAATCTTAAGGATGCTTTAATTTTAATTTCTGACAGTTATCAAAAGTGGTCAGCAGTTAGGTAATTAACAATTCGGAACCCCAAAAACCTTTACACCTTATTTTTAATAGGCGTCCTCGTTCCCTTTTAATGAAAAAGCATAAGATAGACTAATGAACGACTTTTTTATTTACCCAATAGGTACATGCACCCTCTTATTTTTACTGAATTATCATTATTCGTTGATATTAATTTTGTTAACATTAGTAGCAATATTTTAAAACAGCTTCATCTTATATATACAATTCCATAAAAGTATTTTCTTCACGCCTGTAGACTCCACAGAAGTTGGTCATATTATTGGGAATCTCTCGGATAGTACTGCTCTTGATGTGTATGGCTTAAGTAACAAGATGTTGGAAAACATGAAAGAGGGATTAATAGAACCTCTCACCGAGAAGCTTAAATTCAGTAAAGTGACTCCTGTATTTAAAAAAGGAGACAAAAATGAAATAGAAAACTACCGTCCCATCTCAATACTCCCAACTTTATCAAACCCATTGAAGCTGCAATGAATAGTAGGATAATACAATTTGTGGATTCCAACGACTTGCTCTCAAAGTCCCAGTTTGGATTCAGACAAAATCTATCTACATCGCCATATCAGATCTGGTACGAGCCGTGGTGGATGCCTTCGAGAGGGGGGAAGCAGTCACAGCCGTATTCTGTGACCTCTCAAAGGCATTCGACTGTGTGTCACACTCGACTCTACTCGATAAACTACCGTACTATGGAATTAGGGGGAAAATAGCTGATTTGATCGATTCTTACCTATCCGAACGAAAGCAAGTTGTGGAACAAAATAGTGTAAGATCTCCAGCAGTGAGTGTAGCAGCAGAGGTGCCTCAAGGGTCAATCTTGGGACCCCTACTATTCCTAATATATGTTAATGATATTTCACATCATATGAACCCCTTCAATACGATTCAGTATGCCGATGACAGTACTATTTATGAAAGTCACCCTGAACATGAATATCCAAAGCAACTGAATGACAATGCGTTGAAAAAAATCGAAATTTTTTTCGCAGCCAATAAGTTATGCTTAAATGTCAAGAAAACTGAAACAATAACGTTCACACTAAAAGAACTGAAGGACAGTCAAAAATCCATCAAGTTTTTGGGGGTAACGCTGGATCAAAAACTGAATTGGAAAGACCACATCAAAGATCTCTCTACTAAGCTGTCCAGCACTCTTTACCTACTTCGTAGAATTAATGAATTTGTCTCTCTCATGTTTCGAGAACAGCCTAGATGGGGTTATTTCAGTCTAAGCTATCATATGGAGTTTTTTGGGGAATTTCAACTATTGGGAAAGGATATTCATTTTACAAAAAACGGGTATTCAAATCCTGGGAAGAACACAGAGAACTGACAGCTGTAGACCTCTATTTAATATATTAACCATTACGGCTCTATATATATTTCATTGTCTTGTCTATATCACGACACAAAATAACACCCCTCAAGTTAATCGCAACCATGAACATTTGACCAGAAATGGCCACAATCTTCATATTCCACAACAACGACTGGCAATTACTCATAAAAGCTTTTTTACTATGGCGATAAGGCTCTTCAACCATCTACCACCATATATGAGGAAATTACATATGATTAAATTCAAAAGAAGTATAAAAGGGCTGCTGGTTGATCTCTGCCCTTATGACGTAAGTGAATTTTTCAACTGCAAGTTTCAATGCTTTGCCTTTTTAATGTGTATATATTGTCTATGTATTAATGTGTATGTTTTGTATTATATTTATCTACCTTGACGATGCTAAATCTGTTATATTGATAATAAGCAAATAAATGAATTGATTGATTGATTGATATTATTATCAATATCAAACTGGTGTATGGCAATTCACATTTTTTCAATGCCAAATTCAAAAATGAACTTTGAGAAAATAAAAGAAAATGATGAAACATGATAAAGAGAATACTTCAAACTCTTGAAAATGACTGAACGAGAAGAGCAGCCACAACTTAGCTAATGTTCTATTATTTCACTATGTTAATGGTATCCCGGGATTATAACGAAGATATTACAACAAATGATAATAACCGATGACAAATTGTTTATATCTTGGCGTTTACTTTTGTCTGTATTTTTCCAAAACGCCTCAAAATATTGTATGCAACATATTATTCCACGAACGAATGAAAGGGGTTTGAATGAAGCAATTTATTCTCCATCAATAGATCGCTTCTGACTCCCACGAGTGACGCCAGTGCTTCTAGGCCCATTATCATCAAATTCTTACCTACTCTCCAGTTAGTTGGTCGCTGGGAACAGTCACCCTATGTGAGAAGTATTTAGGATGGAGATTCAAGCGCATTCTAAAGGTCATTGTACAAAAAATTGCTTGTCAGGTGCTTCATCTTTAACAAGTGGAGGGACAGGTATATATTTGTATTACGAGGGTTAGTCAACACATTTTTCTTTAAAAAATTCGAAGGGCAGCAAGGTTGGGTAGCCTATTGAAATTGATAATTACTTAAAATAATATACAAGGCGTTTTCTAACTACGGTACGAATCTTTCTGAGATACATACAGGGCGTTACAGTTAAAAAAACGATATTTATAAAATATCAAAAACCTGTACACCGATTTGGTTGAAATTTGCTACAGTTTTTTGAAGTAATGAAGCGCTTAATTCTGCCTAACTAAATTGAAATTATAGGTCCAGTGGAGTCTCAGTGAGCACAGCCAACAATATCGCCAACAAAAAGTACGCAACCGACGTATTGTAATTTTTACTTTTTTTTTAGATTAAACATCTAAAATACAACTTTTTTGTCGCTTGTATTTACTTCATATCTAGCTTTGTTTTCGAGAAACAAAATTGAAGCAACTTTGCATATCATGAACACCTGCTTTAGAGACCAGCTGATAGTGTTATCATATCAGTGAAAGTCAGAGTTGTTAGTAAGCAGTGATTCCATCATGAAAAATTTTACTAACGCTGAAATAGCCGGCATGCATTTTATTTATGGATTAGCAAATGAAAATGCGGAAGAAGCACAGAGAATTAACCAGGAGAGATATCTCAACAGAGTAATTTCATGTGCTAAAACATTTAGAACGCTACGTGCAAGATTATTGAAAATGGTGGTGCTTCAAGACCAGAAACTGTAACAACGCCTGAACTACAAGAAGTTTGAATTGAAAGGGTTATATTTTTAGGAGGGAAGAAAGTTTTTGGCTTTCTACTACTCCATCTTGATACAAAAAAATGTGGGAATCTTCCAAAGAAAGGAAAGAAGTAATCAATTTTAAATACTTTTATGAACACTGAATTATATAGAAGACACTTTTCTCTACTCAGTTTGTATTCCAAACATTTGTTATGGAATAAAATCAGAAATCAATCACAGGAGTGCAATTTTTTACCATTCATTTAGTGTAGAACTCCTGTGATTGGTTTCTGATTTTATTCCATAACGAATGTTTGGAATACAAATTGAGTAGAGAAAAGTGTCTTCTATATAATTCAGCGTTCATATATTCCCCACGTAATTAGAGCAAGTCATTTTCAGCAATAATTTTTGCTAAACGTTTAGGTAGGAATGGTGAGTGAGTACCTAATTGGCCCATTTTTTCTACCAGCAAGATTAACAGGTGTATCCTACACGAACTTTTTTCGAGATCATTTGCCCATTTTGTAAGAAGTGCCGGTACTTGTAAGAGGCAACATGTGATTTATGCACGACGGGCTCCAGCTCATTTTAGTGTTCTTGCTTGTCAGTATCTAAATTGGCTAGCTCGCAGTCCTGATATGAATCCTCTAGACTTCTATTTATGCGGTCATCTGGATGCTTTTGTTTATAAAATTCCTGTACTAGATGTGAATGACTTGAGGAATCGTATAATTGACAATTGCAATGTCATAAGGAATACTACAAATATTTTTGAACGTGTCAGACACTCAATGACAAATCGATTATAGTCATGTATTTTATGAGAAGGTGGACATTTTGCTAATTTACTTTAAAGTCGAAATTCTTTATTATTTACTTTTGGTTTTAATTTTATGTTGTCCATGAATAGTTTTTAGAACTGCTTTTTTTTTCTCCAAAACGAAACTCGATATAAAGAAAACACTAGCGACGAAATAATTGTAGTTTTAGTTGCTGAATCTGAAGAAATAAAAAACTACAAAAAATCAGTGGCGTGCTTTTTTTCTCAATATTGTTGGCTGTGGTACCCACTAAGACGCCACTGGACCTAACAATTCAAATCTAGTTCAGGCTAAATAAGCGCATTATTACTTCAAATAGGTAACTGTATCAAATTTTAACCAAATCGATGTAAACAGCTTTTTTTCAACTTCAACACCTTGTATCTCAGAAACAAACCAACTCCGGACATATGTTTCAGGAACTTTTTTTCTTGAAACGATCTAACGAATTACCCTCTGAAGTTTCGTACCGCAGCTAGGAAACACCCAGTAGTTCTGGTTATACTTCCTTAGTGCACGTGATTTCCCAGACAAGGCTGTTTGTACAGAGTCGCACTAAGAAACGACCGATTTTTTTATATTAATATGCGGCTGGGTATAGCAACTTTTTTTAGGAGAGGAACACAAATTAGCAGTTTCTTCGGTAGCAGTTTCTTCAGCCGTATCAGTAGTTGACATTTCAAAAATTTTCAACTTTAAAATACCGTATATATACACACCACAGGCGTTAAAACGTAACTGACCACTTCGACACTGTAACAATGAATTCCGCCAGCCGATTGCAGTTAAATGTGATTGGCCAGCGAAAGGAGGCTTGTTTATTTCAAACCATAGATGGTGGTGATCATGCTTTGATCATGCATCTATCTTTGTTTGAGTTACTTTGTTTGTTTAGTATTGTTTTTTCGAAATATGTCCCAAAAATTTCAATAATGACTCACCAATGAAAACAAATTTCGATGTTGAAATAGATTAATTTCACGATAAATGACTTACCATTGACACGGGGATGGGTCCACCTGCTCCATTAGCGTAGCTGTATGGTGAGACGAGGTATCCCATGTTAAACGAAGATGTATGGGGTACAGGTTCCACTTTGCCTACACAAACAAAACAAAACTGTAATCCTCTTACAAAACCTGTTTAGAAAAATGCATTGATACTAAATCAGTTTCAGATCTGGCGAGTAACTAATGCCCGAAACATCCAAACTCTGCCAAATAAAAACCATGGTATAAATATCGAAATGATTCTTCTTTGCTCTCCAATATAATCCTTCTTCATTTCAGCCATATCATCAATTAGTGTCTCATCAATAGTGTTTTTCCTTCAAATTGTAAGAAGTCTCTAATTTTACCACTACCAAAAACTACTATTACTTAAGAACTGAAGAACCTTCGTGCAATAAGCATTTTACCCACGATATCAAGTGTTAGAAAAAATAGTTAATCATCAGCTGACGAATTACATGAATGAAAAATCAATTTTACCGCCGACACAATCTGAATTTAGAAGAGGACATAGTTGCACTACCGCCTTGCTACATATACTCAATAATATTCTCACAGCTTCAGATAGAGGTTTATATACAGCCCAGATACTTCAACACTTTCATAGATGGTGTTGAATTCTTTAATAATTATTTGAGGGGAAGATATCAGAGTGTGACAGTCGAACTTTCTCGAACTAATGTCGGGAGTGTCACAAGGTTCAATCTTAGGTCCACTACTTTATTCTATTTATACCAGCCAGCTCGTTAACTACCTTGCACATTGTTCTTCCCATCTATATGCAGACGACACCCAGATCTACATCTCTTTCAAACCTGAAGACGCTGATTAGGCTTGTGTACAAGTTAATAAAGACATCAATAATTTTGTTGAAACTGCAACTGACCATTGTCACAACAGTAAAATGTTTTAATCGTTAAGCCAAAAAATGTCAGGGAGATAATAGAAGACAAAATAAAAATACCTGACAAGGACCTGTCCATTGTAGATCAAGCAAAAAGTCTGGGACTTATTGTCGAAAGTAATTTAGGATTCGAAACCCACGTGAAAAAACTTATTCAAAAGGCTTATGGAACTCTTGAGATTATTTATGAAAATAGAAACTTTCTTACAAATGCAACAAGAAATGTTATGTGATAATGACACAAATTACACATCCGAATTAGTTAGGAAGAAAACATATTCTTTCAGAAAAAAGGTGGTCAAGAAAATATCAATGGCTATAATATTCGAAATACAATTATAACGTTTCAGGCAACGGTGCAAACTGGAATACATAATTGGTAATATCGGGTAGGATATTGTGGAATATTATATTGAATCAGATCGTTAATTGGAATGGTATCAGTCAATCCATCCAGAATTCTTGAAAGTGAATATGATGTCAGTAATACATCTTCTTCCAGCAAGATTGATTACGTTCAATTCTCGACAAACGTTATCACGGTTATTTGGTGAGTCTCTAAAATATTTTTTGTTGACTTGATCTATGAACTTTTTAAAGTCCTGTACCTCGTTACATATTTGGAGATAATGGTTGCCTAATTTATAGCCAAAATTTGATGGATTATTTCGACGGACTGTATAATTTGATAACATTTGTTATCTTTCAGTAATGATAGGTATCCACAGGTGATAAGAGCAATTTTTGTGGAGAATTTCGACAGACGCGAACAATCAAATGTTCACTTATTGATAATCTCAATCTCCGATTACGAAAATATACTTTACAGAATATCAATCAATATCTCAATGATTTTTACAAAGGTCAAAATGGCTGTCTGAAGAAACATGTACTACAAAACTGGGAATATTTATTGTGGTGTTAATTATCGATGTTCCGTTTTGGTTATTTGGTATCTATTTGGTTTGTGAAGTGTGATCAAGAAATCATCGCTGCTGTGAATACTTGGTCGAACCCTGCTCTGGTTTTCGATGGGTGACTTATATGGAACAATTTAAGCAAGATTCTCATATGGGTCTTATTAGTGTGTTGAATATATCATACAACTGCTTCTTGTTAGAATCGCACACTGAAAGGCAAGTATTGAATGTTACGAATGGATTGAGTGTTTCATTTAGCAATGTTATCCAGATTGGATCAGAAGAGGCAATAAGACAAGTGTCTTCTTCCAAAACATCGATGTCCACCATTCAGGATGACAGTGTTCTATGCAAATGAAATTTTGTCTCTTTCTGAGATATAGAAATATTTTATTCGTTTGAAAGACCTATTGATGCCATTATGTGTGGAATATAAAATCGTTCAAATATCCGCCACGGCTTCTTTAAGTGAAGTGCATCCGAAACGTCCAATCTTCCATGCCTCTGGCGCAAAAAATCAGGCTGAATTTGACCGATGGCATGAGTTCCGTTGGCTATGAGGGCCACTGTGGTTTGTGGCTTATTCGCATACACCTGCGACTCGAGAAAACCCCACAAGAAAAAGTCTAATGGATTCAAATCGCACATTTTTGGTGGCCAGCTCACATCATCTACACATGAAATGACCATTCCCTCAAATCGATCGTGCAAAATACAATAATGCGGCACGTAGCGCCGTCCTGTTTGAACCACATGTCATTGGTGTCCAGATCATCCAATTTAAGCCGAGAGAAGTTGGAAATTGTCGACATATAGTGTCGCCATTGGCAATGATGGCCTGGCCAACGTCATTCCCAAAAAAATATGGACTGATGATGCCGCCAGCACAAAATCCACACCTATCAGTGACTTATTCGGGAAGCACTGGACGCTCTCGGATCTCTCAATTCGATAATTTTGTTTGTTCACATACCCATTCATCCAGAAATGGGCCTCATCGCTGAAGATGATTTTTAGATGAAAATCAAGGTCAGTTACCAACTGCTCCAGAGCCCATGCAGCGAACACACATCGTTGTCTATGGTCGTTTACCATCAGTTCCTGGGTCAGTTGAATTTTGTACGAGTCTGCGAAAGGCCGAGTTCTTGTGAGCGATGCGAAATCGATTCCCTCGGATTCTCCTGCACACTCTCACAGACAACGGAGATGTTTTAGGCAGATCTTGCGTTTAGTCGACGTACGGGTGTTGGTCGATCGTTTACTGAAACCGTGGACACTAAATCTATCCACCACATTGTGAATAGTCCTCTCGGTAGGACTATTATGGTCGCCATAATAGTCCTACCATAGTAAAATAGGCAAAAGCGCACGGTACATTGCCCGAACAGAACAATAAAACAATTTTATTATTTGAACGTGTTCTTGAATGCTATATCCGTCCATGGTGATTTGCCAAAGACTGAATAAATATCAACTAATTTGACAGATGTAGCTTCAAAAATTTAGCCGTTATCAGTTGAAAAAATTCGAAATTCGGAAGTCGCTGTTGGAAGATCTGTTGGATTTCTTAACTGCTGACCACAAAAGTGGTCAGCAGTTAAGTAGTTAACAATTCAGGAACCCCAAAAACCTTTACACCTTATTTTTAATAGGCGTCCTCGTTCCCTTTTAATGGAAAAGCGTAAGATAGACTAATGAAGGCTTTTTTTATTCACCCAATGGGTACATGCACCCTCTTATTTTTACTGAATTATCATTATTCGTTGATATTCATTTTGTAAACATTAGTAGCAATATTTTAAAACAGCTAAAGAATACTCCGGTTGATCCAGCGAAACTGATTTCATCTTATATACAATTCAATAAAAGTATTTTCTTCACGCCTGTAGACTCCACAGAAGTTGGTCATATTATTGGAAATCTCTCGGATAGTACTGCTCTTGATGTATATGGCTTAAGTAACAAGATGTTGGAAAACATGAAAGAGGAATTAGTAGAACCTCTCACCAAAATAATAAACAAATGCTTTGAGAAAGGTGTATATCCCGAGAAGTTTAAATTCAGTAAAGTGACCCCTGTATTTTAAAAACGAGACAAAAATGAGATAGAAAACTACCGTCCCATCTCAATAATCCTAACTTTATTAAAACCATTGAAGCTGCAATGAATAGTAGGATAATACAATTTGTGGATTCCAACGACTTGCTCTCAAAGTCCCAGTTTGGATTCAGACAAAATCTATCTANCACCCTACCTTAATCTGACGCCCTCGAGAATTTCTGATGATCAATTTTTTTTACTAATCTGATTTTTTATCCCTCACAGGCGGCCTTATATATGGGGCTCATATTTGGTGGAGGTACTTAACCGGGTACAAGGTATCCCCCTGTATATTAATCTGCCGCGCTTTGGTAAATCCCGAAATCCCCGCTTGTGCTCCCCTATTATAATATCAATCACAAATGAAGAGAATACATTTCAAATTGCTCTTCACCTTGTTGAAAATCCCTAAGTGAGTACCCGAGATCTGAACAGAAAATTAGGATTTTCTCAAACCAACGTGTCTCGAATGATAAGAGCAAGCAAAATTCATCCTTACTACTTGCAATTCAGGCGTTATTGTTCATATTGAAAAAATTTTGAATAAGTGAACGTAAATAATATTTTTTTGTGGTTACAACAATAAATAAAACTGGGTATAATTTGTGAAATATCTGTTTTTCGTATAGTATACCGCTGATAAAGAACGTAGTAAAATGTTGAAACATTTCATAGAAATGTAAAAATACAGGGTGTTCCATTTGAAAAAGTTGAATTATGTCTATTTGAAAATTAATGAAACTTGACCGGTTTCACCGAGCACCCTTTATATTGTTTCCGAAAGTTGAAATTCCCAGTCGAATGACGTATTCATATACTGGGTGTTCCATTTGAAAAAATACACACAGTTTGCAAGAAAATAATTTTAAAAGATAGTATTTATCGATATGACTGCGAAAAAAAATTGAGCATTTGGAAGAATCTTGACTCACCCTGTACTTACTCTAACTGAAAATAATGTACATGCATTGTTTTGAATGTCTCAGTAATTGTTTCCTAATTTTAAGGATTCTATTATTTCTGCTTATTGTTCATGAAGCGCATGGGGTCACTTATGTGTGACTTTGTTGNAAAACCAGTGTATGACGTAGAGGACAGAAACAGAATAAATGTTGCGTGTCAGATCATAAAAAATACCTCCGGGATATTTTTAAAAGAATGCGCGATTCAATGACAAAAACAGCGGATGCGAAAGTGTTCAGGGAAGAAATGCTATATCACTGGCAGGAATTGTACTCTGGATCAACTTCTGATCAGAGGTATAGGATATTTCAGGAGATACCGCAAAGGTCCCCGTGGTACAGATGTGACATTAATATAAACTTCATCCGATTATTCCGCAAAATGTGAACTAGACATGCAGTGTTTTATCAAAATGTGATATGATAATGCTGTATTGATTTGACACGGAATGACATATTTTTGAAGTGATACCTTCTTCTGGAAGGGTAAACAGCTTCGTTACCTAACGCGTAACGTCGCCAGTTTGTCCGGTATCCCTTTCTCTCACGCAGCGAAAGGCAGGCTCCTCCTGCCTCGTCGGACAGACGACCAGTGTTTAGTGTGCATTAGACATATACTTTCGACATTATTATAAAAATTTAACCAGCAAGCACGTAATATTCTTTCATTGAGTGAAACGTGTCTTAAAAATGATGAAACTAATTATATATGTGCATCAATACTATCATTATTTAATCCTACAAAAGTAACGATTGCCTTATGGTAACCATAATATATGTACATACACAAAATAATCAATAAAATATTTTATTGATAAATTAACTTTCTTTACATTATCATATCAATATGCATTAAATTTAGGAAATAACTTAAGCTTTACTCAAGTTAAGCAATTTCAACTGTCGGGTGTCCCGAAACGCACATATTTGTTTTTGTTAGTCTTATGTGTATTCGACAACATTTATTTAAGGCCTCTATGCCTGGAAAGTGAAAGAGACAAACTACTTGAGAAATTATAAAAAAGAAAACAATATTTATCTTATTCCAACTTACCGAAGACGGGGCTGTGGTCAGATCGCTGCTGCACATTTTTGATGGAAGTATGGTAACTTCCATTTCCAGACTTTTCCTGAAATAACACATACAATGCTTCATATACAAGTTTATAAAAACGCTATTCAAGAAGAAACAAATAACGGAATACAAAATCTTCTACGAATAAACATTTCAATGGAACATGAATTAGACCATAAATTGTTCAGAATTTGAAGGTTTTCCTATAAAACACTGTCTAATAATCCATAATCCTTCCAAGCCATATCCAATAATCAGATTGAGTTTGTTGAGAAAAATTCTCAACAAAAGCCAATAATCCACATAATAATTAACCTAACCTACAGTGTAGGGAGTTGAGACTGGCATGAACGAATTTTTCTTTTAGATGATTTGATTTATAGCCAGTCTTCAAGTATGCCCACTGACTATATGTGAAAAGTTTTTTTTCCTTATACAAAGGAATTGGGAAATTTCATATATGCGGTGGGTTACCTCGTTCACAGGCAGATGGGGCGATGACAACACTGTTGTTTGTTGTCCACTTCAGCCTTGTTCGAGGAATGATACTCTGAAGGAATTCGATTTTCACTTATCGGAAATCATCGACTTTATGTTGATGATAGACACTACCTTGCACTGACGAGTGGCCATACAACCCGAAACCGATCTGCAAGTGTGTTCCAAAAATTGAAAATCTATTGTGGCAGTTGTATCGCCAACAGCATATTATGCAGGAATAACTTCATTGAAGAATCCTGCACCGACACCTGTCGGATGTAATCCAACGCCCTTTGTGGTATTAGCCAGGAGAGTAATTGTTTTCTGATAAGTGTCAGTGCATTTACCTACAGTGTAGGAAGTTGGCCTGAACGAATTGTTCCTTTAGATGATTTGATAATAGTTAACTTCTACCTGCAGCGTCAGTATATCCAGATTTTTTTGAGAATTGGTTCGGGAATTCAGTGTGGACCTGAACGGAGTACTGACATTGTAAGGATGATTTTTTTCAAGAGATTTGCCTGTTTTAAATGTTCCGGTCCAGTTTAAATTCATCAATGTTGATATCCAATCACAGTCTCAAAAAAATCTAACTAAATTTATTCTCTTTTTTGAAATCTTGAACTCGCAATAATTTCAGGCACGTTTTAGGCTCATTCATTACGTTATTGAATTCCTCGTTTGAATCGAATATTTGGGTAATTACCACAGAAACAGACGATAAAAGCTGAAATAATTTTCTAGAAATATTCTTCAATTATGGGAGAGATCAAGGAAGAGATAAGAGTATGTTGATAATTCTAACCTCACTTTAGGCTCTAATTCCCTTATCCTCGACTTTCCATATTGTGAAATTGCTTATGATGCACTGTTTGGAACCTTTGGTGTAGTAATGAATATTACTGGAGTTTTTTCCCAACACCAAACCGTTATTTTAACACTTCGACACGTGTTTCAAATAGTAAGCTGGCAGAACCAAATCGAAATAATTCTTCATTTTTAAGAAATTATGAACTTAGGCCGCCCACTCTAGGCTGTCATTACCCTACTGATTTTTTTTGCTCCTGTAGATGCGGAATTCGGCACACGCTCTCCAAACATTACAAGTAATTTTTTGGTGTAGAAGGTTTCAATTATTAGAGTCCGTATAGGAATGTATGCTAAATATTTTTGGAAACATTTTATGTCCCGTACATTCACAGAAATTTGCAGTTGATGTTGAGATGCGAGTTATTTCAGCCCAAAAATAGTTGTGAACGTTTTCGAGATTTTCGGCAACCTTTTGAAACCAATGACAGAAATTTATTCGTAATGAAAAATTCCAAGGAAGTGGAGCCTGGACTCGTTAAATATGAGAAGGATATAAAAAATAATTATGAAGAATTCTCATACTGGAACATGATAAAGTAATATTTAAATTATTCCAAATTTTACTGATACTCATTCCAGGGATTTCTTCAACTACATTTCAAACAGCCTCCTAGATTTACGGTGTTCGTACAGTATGGTGTGTTCCTTTTAGATACCCACATAACTTTCTGTGAGTTCCTGAAATCGTTCGTGCATCCGGAACCATTCTTCTTGGATTTTTGTAATTTACCATGATACGTTTTTATAGTTCAACTTGAGTGAAACGGTGTTTACTAAATTATCAAGATTGAAAAATCAGGTATTCACTAATAAATCGACCATTCATGAAAATCGTTTTTCATTCCGTCACGTGCCGGACGAAAAAAAATCAACAAATTATATTATATATTCCAATACTTATATATTATTGGAAATTATAAAAATAGTTTTTATTCGAAGGAAAAGCTGTGACGTAAGTACATATTTTTCCAACATTTCTGTACGGACGCCACTGGAAATGCCGGATCCAGCCAGGGTCCCCCCTGTTGGACGCAGGACAGGTCTAATTATTATCTCCATAATTCAGTTTAATTGGTAACATCAACATACAGAAATCATGAATTATTGATGTTTTCTATTTCTTTCATGAAATAAACAGAATATGTTACGCCAAGTACAGTAGTTGGTCTCATTTGAAACCCTTATCATATTCTCTAAACATCTTAATTTTCAATTATTTTTAGTGAAAAATGTATCTCAAGTGTCCTCCCCCTCCTCAGTAAATTCCTAGATCCGCTCTTGGCCACTGGTTGAAATTTTTGCATCAAAAAATGGCTGTTGATGCTGGGAGAGCGTGTGTTTAATTTTATGAACATAATATATCGAGAATGTTATTGTGAAGTTATGACGAAAAATAATTTTTTCTCAAGATTTCAACACTAAGGATTCCCACCCTTAAGTATCGGCATCTTTTTCTGAAACATCCAAAATTGTGAATTTTACGATGAATTTTCGACTCCATTCCTCCCAACCGTCATTTTTCCAAATGTTATTTTTTTAATCATTGGGTTCTGCTAGCTTTACCACTAAGCTGCCACAACCAACTCGAAATCTTTTACTTTTTAGAAATTTTGAACTTGCATTAATTTTACGTTCCTCCATTTACCTATTAAACAATGTTTTGCTCCGTGTTTGAATCGAATATTTGGGTGATTATTTGAGGCACACACAATAACAGTGAAAATATTTTTCCAAATAATTCTCTAGTGTCAGAAAGATGGAAATATAGGTACAGAAGGAAAAAGCTGAAATAATTTTTCTCGGATATTCTTATGTATGTGACATGTCAATAGATATGGAGAAATCTAGACTATTATTTTTGTTCTTTTGTCCATTAATATAGGAGATGTATTTCAAATTTGTTCTGTATTCAGGTTCCACAATTTTTCCGATGAATGAAAAGTAAAAAATCGGGAATAGAGTACAAAATCATGGCCTTCAATTTGTTCAATGGTTTAATGAAGGAGTCTAAAATGATGTAACGATTATTTCGAACATTTCCAAAATTTGGAGTATTACGATTTGGTTCTTACAGCTTAACGTTCAACTAGCAGAACACAATTATCCTCATTGAATGTTGAATGCAACTGTAATTATTTAAATTTCAAATCAATTCTGTCAGTTCAATAATAATAAATCAGGCTTTCTCAGCATATTATCAAAAGGAAGGTGTTCAAAGCCTATAAATGAACTTTTAATCATTCCTTAGAAAACTAAGTACCTTCATTACTCAAAACATTAACCTTCATTGATCTTAATGCTATTGTTATTATTTAAGAATAATGAGGTAAAGTCGAAGGTAAAGTTTATAATTGTTTACAATTTATGAATTCATTACATTACTTTTGGAATGTGAATTGTTGAACAGTAAAAAATGATACACCAAATTCTGAAATCAGTGGAGAAGGTGGTTGCCCAAAAATACTCAGAAGCAAAATTCTTTCAGTTAAGTACCTACCGATGACCAATGTTCATACTATAACAAAGTGATTCGTAATTTAACCTCAATATGGTACAATATTTACTGTGGTACAAACACCTTCATAAGGAACCACTGTATCAAAATCAAATAAATACTTTGCCCACTCATAAAGTTTGGCAAGGTATTAAAAAGTTATACAAATAATCCAGCACATATAATATTTTCCTTGAGTAAATGAACTGAACATGCATTTGAATTGAAACTAGATGCGATTGATATGAAACCGAGGAAAAGATTTAGTTAGTAGATACTGAAATTCTATCTGAAATCACTGTATACTAGTTGAAAACAACTTGAGTTCAGACCAGAGCAATACTGATGGTCAGACATATCAAGAACAGTTTATTATGAATTTCCTCATAATGATCTGTAGACAACTGAAGGATTGTAAATCGATCAAGTTTGATGTACACTTTTGTTGAATATATATTAAATGTGTTTTTCTGTCTTTTTCGACACAACAATGAAACTGGTTTGGGGTCCTTTTCTTTCCACCTAACATCTGAAACCTAATTCCCTACCAAGGTTACTTCCTACCTAGTAACTAAAAAGTGATTATATACTGTAATTTTCCCTCCCATTTTCATTCAAAACAAATCACGATAAATTTTTATGGTACACATGGGAGTATGAGTATGAGTATGAGTATGAGTATGAGTATGAGTATGATGGAATAATAAAAGCTACTTCGATCTAAGGCAAATAAGATCAATTTTGATTTAAACAGAGCATACGAAATCATACTAAAGTATTTTTACACTGGTAGAGGTTTTGGACAAAAAGTAATTAATAAACATTTCCTATATTTATTCTATGTCTAACTCATTATCTGATGACGAAATTTGAACTAAATTGTTCATTGAGACTGAAGTCTCAAGTACGTATGGCCGCATACCTAGTAAACAAGTTTTTTTATTGACAAAATGGATATGGCTTTCGGGCCGACACTGAAAGTGTCACTATTTCCCGGAAAATAGTGACAATAAAGTTTTTTTATTGTCAAATACACCCAGCCTCATATAATTATTATGCTATAAACACCGCAAATACTCTTAATCATTGTCCAGAAACCAATTTTGTTAAAATTTCAAGATCATTCAAAACAAATCAAGGGAAATTTTTGTCGGAGTGACTTCCGACGGCAAACATTCCTCGAGTCTGAACTACTTATTATACGAAAGAATTATATCGACTGTTTTCGCCCGACGGGAAGGTGCCGTTAAACAAATGAATGTACCTCCGACTCGGTGAGGTCGATGAGGCTACTCTTCTCCTCGGTGAGGTTCTCAGAGGACCTCTTTTCGTCCTCCCCGTCGCCCTCGTCCTTGAACACCTTAACCTCATCGGTGCTGCCGAGATCATCGCCGCCACTGGACGAGACGTGTGGCATGGTTCACTTGAACTCACGGGATAGCGGCATATCACAGCCACACTACATAGCACCACTATCTGCATTCGCCCGTCGTCATTATTGTCGTCGGAGTACTGTCACTCACAATAACAAAAGCGCTCGTCACAATCACTACTAGATCGGAACGGGACGACGCGAGCACGTGTTCACATATTTCACTAGGCCAACTAAGCACTACTGGCGGTGTGCGGCCCAGGCAAGCGCGTTCCAAACGTCTCTGTCGGCACCGACCAATCACCGGCGGCTTTGATCCACCGAGGCGGCTCACAGTAATGGCAGCCCCAGACGACTGCGCACGACCTGCGACGAAAGGAGAGTCGCGGCTTGTTGTGGCCAGGGCCGGGTCTGTCATTTTAGTGGGATATTGCATTTTTATGTATATTCGAATCGTTAACAAAATAACTATCAGGGCATGTCGTAATTAGTAATTATCGTAATTCCTTGGGCCTTACGACATCCGTACATGGCAGGATCCCAATCAGAAAACGTGAAAAATCATTTTCAGTGCCTGAAAATATGTTTCTATGCAGACAGGTGAAATTTCAGAAGTCTTTATTTGTATTTTGGAGGCAGTGGGTGTACCAAACGAATTATTAAAAACGCAGTCACACGGCGATGTTTCTTCTGGGAAGAACATTCATACAGAGTGACTCTAGAGTAACGAGGCGATTCTCTTGGTCTTTTATAGGTTTTTGCTCCCCGAAAATTGAAAATGTGTTCAATCTAAATGTGGATTGCCTATCCCGAAATGTTATTGCCTTAGAATAAGGCATAGTTCAATTCAAGCAAAGAGATTCATTCAACTTGTCATTAACACTCATTAAAACATTTCATTATTCATTCTCCCTCGTTTTTTAATATCAGAATCTATAAGATATCACTTCAGAAAATAATATTATTTTTTGAATTTCAGTTTGCTCAGTCCATTTAAAAAAAAATCTGTTTAAAATCTGTTTTTCCGTTAATCAGATGTCGCCCTCATACGTACAACAACTTTCAGAAGTTGAGAAACTTGTGCGAGCTAAGGACTAACGAGGTCTTATCTTTTAATGTGTGATTCCTAACACGTCTAATTCATGTTTATATATAGGATATACAAAAAACTCCATACACAAATAGCAAAGATAATCATGTAAACAGATAGCTGCAAATTATTGTATTCATGATTTGATACTAGTCAGCAATTTCACTATCAGCCATAGAACCCGATAGTCATACTAGTAAAACAACGCCAAAAAGGACTCTCGTCACGAAGAGTATCATTTCAGTGAGTTTAATGTCCTTATGAGTTTCACTTCCACGAAATTCAAAAACTTTATAAAATAAATGTGTTCGATTGTTGAATTTGGGATTTCACTAAGAAGTTAAGAATAAAACAGTAATAAAAATGATGAGTTCTATTGCAGCATTCTGAAGTCAAGCAGCGTCTATTATAGTTGACATCGAAAAGAAAAGAAAAATTTGAACAGTTCATAAACATCAACGATTATATGGAAAAACATACTATCTACAATTTCAATCCTGAAATTGAGGCAGAAATTAAGACCATGGTACTAGACTTCGAAATTCGCATTAGTGATGGTGGAATTCATCATCAGTTATCCGTTTGATAATTCATTGATCATACTGATATCTATGAAATAACTACAACCACACGATATTTTAAAACGAAATTATAACTATGCGCCGCGTCATACAGTTCATTTCTTTAATGTCCCCACCTTTTATTTTTTGAACGGGTCAAGTCAAAAATTGAAATTTTGGATAATGCAATTGATGCATAAATACTTTAGTTATGAAGTGAAATTGACAGATGAAACTTTCAAGATGACGACTGGGCGCCATCTGGGAAAAAAATTAAATGGAAAGGGGGGCTCTTGTGACACATCACAGACAATGCTCACAGACAAAATTGTCGTTATGTGACACCAACCCTCACGTTTTCCGGGAAACACATACCCAATATCCAGAAAAAATTAACGTTTGGGCAGGAATATTAGGAAACCATATTGTAGGACCTCTATTTATTGATCAAAATTCAACAGAGGAACTGTATTTGAATATGCTGGAAACTACTGTTGATATGGATATTGTAGTTCAACAAGATGGAGCACCACCACATTAATCCAGACAAGTAAGAAACTATTTGGATACTATTTTTTCTGGTCGTTGGATTGGCCGTCGAGGTCCTACAGAATGGTCAGCCCGCTCGCCAGATTTGACACCTTTGGACTTTTTTTATGGGACTATTTGAAGCAAAAGGTGTACGAAACTGAACCTGCTTCAATATTGGATATACGGCAGAGAATAATGAATATTAGTAGAGATATTGACGTTACTGTGTTCGAAAATGTTCGGCGTGAAATATCGGATAGGCTGTGCATATGTCAAGAAGTTCAAGGCAACCATTTCGAGTTTATTACCTCATATTAGGTAGTTGAATGTGAATGTATTCAGGTAATTATTGAAAGTTCCGCCATTTTGTAATAGTTGAAGATATTGACCATATATTCTAGGATTGTGAAGCATTTGTAAGGAGCTTCAAAAAGATGTGTTACAAGACCCCCCTTTCCATTCAACTTTTTTTTACCAGATGGCGCCCAGGCGCCATCTTGAAAGTTTCATCTGTCAATTTCACTTCAAAATAAAGTATTCATGCATTAATAGCATTATCCCAAATTTCAATTTTTTTAGGTGACCCGTTCAAAAAGTAAAAGAGGGGGGCATTAAAGAAATACACTGTATTTCTAAATGCAAGTACGTACATCCTCAGTTCTAGATTTCTGGGCATTGGTTTCCAAGAGCAATATTCAAATTTGGAAAAATGTGTTGAACAACTGTATTCGTGATTTTTTTTTCAACATATTTATGTGAGTCAGCATGTTCCTACTTAAAACAAACAAAAAATAAATACCGTTCTCGTTTGACAAACTCTCATACATTGGATTCTTCAAGGTTGGCAATGTCCAACTACAAACCTGATTTTTTTAATCTAGCGAATATTTTTTTCTAAGAATATTTTTCAGTATCATGATTTCTCTCTCAATAAAAAAGTTCTACATAATTGTGTACTGAACTATGCTGTTTCATTCAAGATCTCGAGAAGTATGTAATTGGTATATCATACAGGGTTCCGTCAGTAAACAGTAGATCTTGGTTCTAATCAAGTCGGTCACCCCTGGTATAGTTTGTTTACAGGAATTTACCATATGGGAATCAGGATGCATATTTGGTGTGCATCAATGAATATAATGAGGCTACTGAAATTTGGTATTATTCAGATTGTGAAAATTTGTTATGATTGAAAAAATGTCTCAAAGGCGAAGCGAGAGAAGCAGGTAAGATGTTGCTGATTTCTTACAAAAATGTCTCTCTGGTAAGCCGGAATTCATCATAAAATGTTTGATATCCCAGGTTAAAGATTTTGCCGCCCCTAAAGATCACATGCCAGAGACTAAAGTCATCAGGTACGCGAATTCCATCAATAATTCACTAGTTGCTATTGAACATTTGGATAATGATGTTTACCAAAAAAATCATCTTTAACTTGAAGAGTTTGTTTCTAATTCAACTACAAACCAACAACGGTCACTTCATACGATAAAATTAAACAATATAATATTGTTAGAGTTTTCTAGTTGGTTGAAAGATAAAGGAAAAGCAGCAAGTTTACTTTATACAATCGAAAGTCGATTAGATAATAAACTCAAAATAAAATCTAAATTTTGTCTGATAACTAACGAAAAAAGACAGGCGAAGATGAGGAAAAAAGTTCAGAAAGTTGTGAATGCGGTTTGCAGTGGAATCGTAATTTAAAACAAATTTTCTAAATTTCAGAAAATAACTGCTTATAACCGTTGGTTGCTTGTTACTGAAAATAAACGGTGTATTATCTATCTATATGTCTCCAGCCTAAGCATCGAATGAGTTCATGTTTCTGCAAAAAAGTATGTGAGGTGCATGGATGCAGACAGGGCCGTCGCCATGGGGGGGGTGGGGGGAGCTTCCCCCCTTGCTTTTTCAACTTGGGAAAAAGTTGGGAAAGGTTGGGAAATTTTGGACCATGAAGATTGAAACAAATAATAGTAAAAAAATGAATGAAAATTTAAAAAATAAAAATGAGAGAAAAGAAAAGGAGAGGTAATATGAAAAGGGAAAGAATCAGGGGAAGGTTGGGATTTCCCAAAATGCATAACTTGAAGAGAATTCTGAGTTGTTTGAAATCTTCAAAATAGTTTGATTTCTCCCAAGTAAGAAAACAGTCCTGAACAGTCCACAAATTTTGAAGTGACAATTTTACAAAATTCCCAACTTTTCGCTATTTTTCAGACTTGGAAAAGTTGGAAAATTTCAGGCCGTGAAGATAGAAAAAATAAATAGTGAAAAACAATAACCACAATATTATTTAAGTGTTGTTTCCTTTCATTTGTATTGAATATTCCTATACAGTGTGTCTCACTTCTCATGAAAACATCCCCGTATCTTCCGTAATATTCGAGGTAGAACGATGAAACTATCAGGACTGATGGAAATACTCAAAATGCACCTACCACCTGAATGGGGTTGGCCAAAGTGATATACACTGTCCGCCACTCGCGATGGAACACCCCATTTTTACGGTAAAACATATTATTAGGGGGCAAAATAGGTTCAAAATTCTTTCAGATTCGTGTTTTACCTAAAAATGGGGTGTTCCATCGCGAGTGGCGGACAGTATATATCACTTTGGCCAACCCCATTCAGGTGATAGGTGCATTTTGAGCATTTCCATCAGTCCTGAAAGTTTCATCGTTCTACCTCGAATATTATGGAAGATACGGGGGTGTTTCCATGAGAAGTGAGACACACTGTACATGGTGGATATGGTGGAAGACCAAGGATGTTGGTCCAAAGTAGAATAATTCCCATCATCATTTTTATAATCACCAAAATTTATTTTTGTTTGTGCACATCCTAACAGGTATAAGCATTCAGCCAATCTTTGGATAGCTAAGTAAGAAAATTAATATATTATAGTGGTAACTAATCCCTCGGCTTTCATTTCTTCGAAAGTTGGGAAATTTTGCTGGTGGAGTTGGGAAAATTTGGATTTCCTCCCCCCCCTGGTTTTTCTTTCTTCATAAAATTATTTTGAGACGTATCATCAAACTTATTAAGGTTCTGCAATGCCAAAAAACTACCTAGAAAAATCAAGATGA